AAACATTCATTTAAATCCTTAAATCCTTGAAAAAGAGGTGTTTTGTCAGATTTATAAAATGTAAAAAGTATATGCAAAATAAATAAATTCATAATGTAAATCCATCCATTCATATTCCTATAGACTATGTATGTGTATATATATATATATATATAACTTCTATTTTTTTGTTAATGCTGTATTATATTTAATTTTTATTGTCTTTTTTTCTTTATTATTGTGTTATATTGCATTTTATCGCCTTAATTTCTGTGCAGATCTGTCTGTACTTTTTTCTGCACTGGAAGCTCCAGTCACCTAGACAAATATGCGCATGAAATAAATAAATAAAAATAATTAATTAATTAATTTCACTTGCACAAAAGCCAATTAAATAAATAAATATGTTTTCTAAAATTTCACTTGCACAAAAACCAATGAAATAAATAAATAAATAGCCCTGGCTTTGTGCAAGTGATGTTTTCCTAAAAATGCGTCATAATTTTATTATGTTGTCGTTTCTGGAAAGCTAGATTTAAAATCCCCCCCCAAAAAATGATTTAATCAAATGCTTTGCTCTCAGCTGTTATGAATGATCACTGCGGGAAGGGGCGTGGCTGTTCTCTCTGCGCTTCTCTGATTGGTCACGTCAACTACTATCGCAGCGGACAGGGCGGCTGGGCGGTGCCCATGTGCATGTGGGTGTTACGAGCGGACAGCTGATTGGCTGACACGGCGAAGGCAAGCGTATCCGCTAACGCCATTGGTTGTTTGTGGCGGTGGGCGGGATCTCACCGCTGGGACCTCGCAACAAATGCAGACGCAGCAGTTGCGCTGCACAGAAGAGCGAGCGGCTTAAGAGTCGAGGTAAAACAAAACCGGCATTTAAAATAAATAACATTCGTTATATATATATATATATAGATGTACATTCAGATCCTAATGGCCTTCTGATATTGATATTTCGGCGTGTTTCTGTGCAGATCGTCGGCCGTTATTGTCTGTGGATTTACCTCAGAGGACCGAACGGATATTTCTCCGGTCGCGGAAGGATTATCACGCTCGTTACGGCACACACCGTCCCCCGCTCGGTTCAGAGATCACGGGATTATCGGATGGAGCGGAGCTGCAGCAGTCACGGATCGCGGTCCCGGTGTCCGGAGCTCCTGAACGGAGACGCGTCCATGAACGTATCGATCAGCTCCACGACAGGATCGCGCTTCGAGCTGTCCGTCCCGCTGGACGAGACCGTGCTGGGGCTGAAGCGGAGGCTGTCCGAGAAGCTCCGGGTTCCCGGAGAGCGACTGCTGCTGCTGCACCGAGACACGTGAGTCCGAGCCCGGGGTCCGCGAGACCCAGCTCCGCTTCTCGGTTCCTGACGGAATCTAGTCGCGCTCAGATCCGTCTTTGCTTGCGTTCTTCGAGTGATCCGGATCTAGAGGTCTTGATGAAGGAAGGCGCAGGTCTTAATTCGCCTTTCCACAAATTAAGGCCTTAAAAGGTTTTTTAATTAGATCAGAAAGCTTTAAATTCATAAATGTTGCATGCTTGCGGTGTTTTGTTTTCCAGAGCAAATATCTAAAAATCTTTAAATCAAGATGCATTTATTTGAGATGCAGAAATGAGGTCTAGTTTTCTGAGAAACGCATCAAAAGTGAGTTTAAGCTTAAAACGAGAGCGAGCATCTGTCAATGGTGGATGAAAACTTGTTTTCCAAGTTGATTTTTAAGCCTATTTGCAGATATTTGGTTTTGTTTTAAGCTTAAACTCTCTTTGTTTCTCAAGTATTGTGATCTAAAGGTTATTCTGTGTTTGGATCAGAGCGAATTAAGCCTAAAGCTGTTTGTTTTTGTCAAATGAGTTGAGAAGTAATGCACATACAGACTGATGATAATACAGATCATCGGGTTTATTGCCCTACCGGTACATTACCAGTCAAAAGATTTCTGTTTCAGATAAATGCTGATCTTCTGAACTTTCTAGTCATCGAAGAAACCTGAAAAAATTCTACTCAGCTGTTTTCAACATTGATAATAATCAGAAATGTTTCTTGAGCAGCAAATCAGCATATTAGAATGATTTCTGAAGATCATGTGACACTGAAGACTGGAGTAATGATGCTGAAAATACAGCTGCGCATCACAGAAATAAATTACAGTTTAACACATATTCACATAGAAAACAGTTATTTTAAAAAAACCGGCATTTAAAATAAATAACATTCGTTATATATATATATATAGATGTACATTCGGATCCTAATGGCCTTCTGATATTGATATTTCGGCGTGTTTCTGTGCAGATCGTCGGCCGTTATTGTCTGTGGATTTACCTCAGAGGACCGAACGGATATTTCTCCGGTCGCGGAAGGATTATCACGCTCGTTACGGCACACACCGTCCCCCGCTCGGTTCAGAGATCACGGGATTATCGGATGGAGCGGAGCTGCAGCAGTCACGGATCGCGGTCCCGGTGTCCGGAGCTCCTGAACGGAGACGCGTCCATGAACGTATCGATCAGCTCCACGACAGGATCGCGCTTCGAGCTGTCCGTCCCGCTGGACGAGACCGTGCTGGGGCTGAAGCGGAGGCTGTCCGAGAAGCTCCGGGTTCCCGGAGAGCGACTGCTGCTGCTGCACCGAGACACGTGAGTCCGAGCCCGGGGTCCGCGAGACCCAGCTCCGCTTCTCGGTTCCTGACGGAATCTAGTCGCGCTCAGATCCGTCTTTGCTTGCGTTCTTCGAGTGATCCGGATCTAGAGGTCTTGATGAAGGAAGGCGCAGGTCTTAATTCGCCTTTCCACAAATTAAGGCCTTAAAAGGTTTTTTAATTAGATCAGAAAGCTTTAAATTCATAAATGTTGCATGCTTGCGGTGTTTTGTTTTCCAGAGCAAATATCTAAAAATCTTTAAATCAAGATGCATTTATTTGAGATGCAGAAATGAGGTCTAGTTTTCTGAGAAACGCATCAAAAGTGAGTTTAAGCTTAAAACGAGAGCGAGCATCTGTCAATGGTGGATGAAAACTTGTTTTCCAAGTTGATTTTTAAGCCTATTTGCAGATATTTGGTTTTGTTTTAAGCTTAAACTCTCTTTGTTTCTCAAGTATTGTGATCTAAAGGTTATTCTGTGTTTGGATCAGAGCGAATTAAGCCTAAAGCTGTTTGTTTTTGTCAAATGAGTTGAGAAGTAATGCACATACAGACTGATGATAATACAGATCATCGGGTTTATTGCCCTACCGGTACATTACCAGTCAAAAGATTTCTGTTTCAGATAAATGCTGATCTTCTGAACTTTCTAGTCATCGAAGAAACCTGAAAAAATTCTACTCAGCTGTTTTCAACATTGATAATAATCAGAAATGTTTCTTGAGCAGCAAATCAGCATATTAGAATGATTTCTGAAGATCATGTGACACTGAAGACTGGAGTAATGATGCTGAAAATACAGCTGCGCATCACAGAAATAAATTACAGTTTAACACATATTCACATAGAAAACAGTTATTTTAAATAGTAAAAATATTTCACAATTTTACTGCTTTTGCTGTATTTCTGATCAAATAAATGCAGGCTTGGTGAGCAGAAGAGACTTCTTTAAAACACATTAAAAATCTTACTGTTAAGAAACTTTTGACTGGTAGTCTATAGTGTTCCCTTCAGTTTATTCCTTGCATTTTCTTTACTTGGTCTTAAAAAAAAACAACACAAAATTCCTCCGTTTCCGCTGCAGTGCAGTCAAATCGATAATAATATTACCGTAATTGCTGGAATGAGCCAGCTAAAGTGCAGTTTATAAATGGTAATTAGATATATTTCAGCGATTCATTCCAGTGTGTTACACTCCAGAAACATTATTATGATGACGCCGTCAGATCTCAGCGACGTTTGTTCAGAAAGGCAAAGCACACTGAACTGAAACCATCTCATGAATGCTGGAGAGATGCATGATGGGAAGTCTAAGTGACTGTGTTCTCCGTCCACAGGAGGTTAAACTCAGGAAAGCTGCTGGATTTCGGTGTGGCTGACGGAAGCAGACTGACGCTGGTGCCCACGGTTGAAGCCGGACTGATGGTAATAAAACTCTTCTTTGTTTTTACATTTAAAGACCTCGTGATTGTTGAGTGTGATGCAAACGAAATGCTTTGGGCTTTTTTAACAGTGTTTTGTGTTCTCATGCATGCATGTTGTTGTTATGTGTTTGCAGTCGCAGTCGTGCCGCTCGGAGCAGTCGGTCCTGCGAGCGCTGGAGACTCTCTCAGACGCTCAGGTGAAGCTCTCGCTGCGGTCGCACACTTCCTCTTCTACCAGAACACGCTCATTCACAAGAACTCACACAATCACTATTCTAATGAGTGCGCGTTTCCCACCAGCAGCTGTGAATATAACTAGTAAAAGACGCCCACACATGTGTATAAATGCACACGCACTCATTCAGAATAAGCGGTGGGGGATTCTGGGTAAGCAACAGGAACGGGTCGATGCTTTTTATGAATGTTCTTCTGTGTTATGATGGATTTGCATGCAAGCAAATCAAACCACTGCTCTTTTGGCGACGAGCCCATTGAAATCTGTGTGTATGTGGGCTTTACAGACGCTCACTATAAACGTGACTTTTGATGCTCAACGGATCATTAACCTACTGAAACTAAATTAGATAAGCAGAAAAGTTTCTATTTTTAAGTTTTAGCCCCTGCATGTGGCACCTACATCTGTGAAACCACATGTGTGTGTGTGTGTGTGTGTGTGCGCGCCCCATCAGCGGGTCTGTGCGTCATTTTGGCAATGCTGAGTTGTTTGATGTCAGTTTAGTCTGTCTGTGTGTGTGTGTGGTTAGACTCAAGAATGATAGATGATTTCCTAGAACAGACTCATGTCAGACTTATTATAAGAGGCTCTGAATCTCACGCAGCTCATCCGGCTCTCGTTTCTCCTCTATGAGGAACCTTAAAGTCACCATGAAATCAAAACTGACAGTTCAGATGAGTGTTTGTGTGTGTGTGTATTTGTGTGAGCGAGTGTGTGAGCGTGTGTGTGAGCGTGTGCGTGAGTGTGTGTGAGCGTGAGCGTGAGTGTGAGTGTGAGCGTGAGAGTGTGTGCATGAACATGTGTGTGTGAGCGTGTGTGAGAGTGTGCGTGTGTGAGCGTGAGCATGTGTGTGCGTGTGTGTGAGCGTGTGTGTGTGTGAGCGTGTGTGTGTGTGTGTGAGCATGAGTGTGTGTGTGGTGCTTCAGGAAGTTTGTTTTTGTCAGCAGCTGTGCAGGTTTGTTTTTTTCTGATATTTTCTGAAGGAAGCAGGTCTCACATGAAGAGCGTCAGACATCACACCTGTTCACTGTTAGATCAGCACACACTCGTCATCATAAACAAACAGTCTAAAGTCTATATGACATCATAATGTGTGCTCTTAATGCATGACTTGGGTTTTATTGTGAGTGATTCATCCGTGCATTTGTTTAGATTTTTTTTGTTTACTTTGAAATCTTTAATCAAATAGTTATAACCTGTTCTTCCTGTGGCATGACTCACTTGATGTCTGTCGTCTGCCACTTCAGTCAGATCTGCATCCATTCCTGTATAAACACTGCAAAACATGACTTTCTTCTAGGACTAGGAAATCTATCTATCTATCTATCTATCTATCTATCTAAAGTTTTTGCTTGGAAAAAAAAAACATGGTTAGAAAAAAAATTATTTTAAGGAAAAACCAGATTTCTGACCTCATTGACAGATATTTTTTTTCTTATTTTAAGCAAAAACTCACTTAAGTTAAATTTTTTTTTTTCTTCTTTTTTTCAGAAAACAATTTTGTTTCTCCAGTAAATGTATTGTGACTTAAGAATGTTTAGATATTTGCACTGGAAAACAAGACAAAAATGTAAAGAATCAAAAAATCAAGTTCTGTCCTTCTGTTTCTTTTCTTGTTTTAGCCGTTTCATTCTGAAATGCATCACAACACAGCAGTGAATTTGTTTGCAACTTCCTTTTCATGCCGACTTTAATATCTGCTTATTATGATGCTCCGTCCTCATGGTTTTCATCCGGGTCCTGTGGTCTGTTTGTCACTCACAGTTATTGTAAAGATGCTCCAGTGTCGGGCAATCTCTGGCGTGATTGGGAATCGTTTGCTCTTTATAGCGTTGTGCGGTGAGAGAGCAGATCTCGCTGAAGGCCTGCGGACCAATAGATGCTCTTCTAGCTACTTCAGCCCTGATCTCTGGTACTCGATGTTCATAAACACACGGTTACAACAGCATATGATTTGTATGGGATTTTCGTGAGATTCTGCCTATTTTCATAACAATACAGAGTGTTTACATGAGAAATACTAAGCAGGTGTAGCGATTAGCTTGATATAAAAGGCTACAAATAACATTTAAGCAACATTATATGGCCAAAACACGCATTAGATCGCACTCGGGAGTTATTACAAACACTCGGTGGTGGTTTTCGGTCGTGTAGTGTGGACGTTTTCTGAAACGCTAGTATTGTTTTCATTTTAAAATGCTGATTTAAAACAAAAACGCACTAGTGTACTGTAAACGTAGCCTTACGTCTCTGAGAATCTGATCATCCTGCCATCGACGCTCTTAAAAATAACTTTTGACTTTACTAATTTGTCGTGAAAAGTGAGCTCCACCTTGCAAGAAGTTATTTTCCAACTCCGTATTTTTCCAGTACAAATCTAAACATTCTTAAATCGAGATATATGTGTCCCTGCAGCACAAAAGCAGTGTTAAGTCGCTGGGGTATATTTGTAGCAATAGCCAACAATACATTGTATGGGTCAAAATTATACATTTTTCTTTTATGCCAAAAATCATTAGGATATTAAGTAAAGATCATGTTCCATGAAGATATTTTGTACATTTCCTACCGTAAATATATCAAAACTTAATTTTTGATTAGTAATATGCATTGCTAAGAACTTCATTTGAACAACTTTAAAGATGATTTTCTCAATATTTAGATTTTTTTGCACCCTCAGATTCCAGATTTTCATCTCAATCTTTCAATCTTTCCATACATCAATGGAAAGATTACTTATTCAGCTTTCAGATGATGCATAAATCTCAATTTTGAAAAATTGACCCTTATGACTGGTTTTGTGCTCCAGGGTCACATATTTACTTAAAGAGCAAAATTACTTAAAATATCAAGTTTTGTTTCCTGAAAAAAAAATGTATCAAAATTAAGTGTTTTTGCTTAAAACAAGATTTTTTTTTCATATCATAAAGAAAGCTTTTTTATGATTTTTTTTAAAGGACATTGAAGGTTAACACAAGTTAAAGTCTGTGTTTCTCGCTCTGACTCTCCTCCACCTGCTGTGAGCAGAAACACTCGAGTCTTCACCCGTTTCTCCGCTGCAGCAGGTGTTCCTGTGAGTCAGGAGTGCGTTTAGTTTCGCCGCTCGTATCTCTCTCGCTCATCTGCACAGCAGCCGGTCTGATGTACAGTAAACCGCTCTGAACCGGACTCTCAGGCTGGGACTGTGTGAGATGTGATGACGTAACGCATTGATTGCCACACTCACAGCTTCTTGTAATCGGAGGCTGGGTGTTTCCTTCTAGTTCGCTGATTTCCAAACCATTGTTCAGTAACTCACAGAACACCTCCTCTCGTCTGAAGACTTCTCAATGGGTTTTACTGCAAGATTTTAACTTATAAAGTGGTGACCGTCAACAACAATAGCATCTCATTTGTTAACATTAGTTAATGCATTAACTACCAATCAGCATATTTTACAGCATTTATTAGCCTTTGTTAATGTGATTTAAAAATCTTTGTGTTTCTATCAGTTTACACTATTAGTTTTTATTTTGAATTCATTTTTATATTTAGATTTTCAGTTTGTATTTAAATTTACTTTGTTAATTTTAGTGAACTTTTAACTAAAAACTTTGCGTTTTTGCTTTTTGTAAATGTCAATATAGTTCATTTTTACTTCAGTTTTAATTATTTTAGTAAGTCAAATTAATGTAAATGAAATTTAGAAATGTTTGTTTATCTTTAAAATAGCTGAAATAAAAGTTTTTCATATCTGATTTATATATATATATATATATATATATATACACACACACACACTACCGGTCAAAAGTTTTGGATCAGAATAATTTTTAATGTTTTTTACAGGAGTTTCTTCTGCTCTTCAAGGCTGTAATTATTTGATCAAAAATACAGGAAAAAATTTAATATTGTGAAATATTATTATGATGTAAAATAACGTTTTTCTATTTATATATTTAGTGAGTCTCTCTCTCTCTCTCTCTTTATTTATATATTTATTTATTTATTTATTTATTTATTTATTAATGGTTTTCTTTCACTAGAATAAACCTGGTTCATGTTAGTTCGCAATGCATTAACTCATGTTAACGGATGGAACTTTTGATTTTAATCATCTAGTAGTAAATGATGAGATTAAGAGTTATCAAGTTTAATACATGCTGTGGAAGTGTTGTTCATTGTTAGTTCATGTTAACTAATGTGAACAAATAAAACTGTACTGTGAAGTGTTGTCGTTGCACAGATCTGCTGTTTGTCGTGACGCATCAGTTGCGTTGCACTGCTTTACAAAGTACCAGCCCACAATTTCTGAGAATGAAGTTTCCCAGACTGCTCCACTGACTGAGATCAGAGGCTTGCATGCCCTCTTCAGTTCCTGAGCCCAGCACACCAACACGTGACCTTCACATCTGAGCCGAGCGCTCTTCAGCTCTCAGATCACTCGCTATACATCACGAGCGTTAATTAGCGTGAGTAGATTCATGTGCTCTCTGTGCATCTGCCTCCTGAAGGAGTGTGACCTCAGCGTTACTCATGGATCTCAGAGAGCGTCGGGCTCCTGTGACGGCCAGCGGATTCTCCACGGCCTTTAAAACTACATCAGACGCTCGGCCTGCTGCTCGTGTGGTTTTGGCGACGCATGTGAAACCTCAGCACTGCTGCAATCTGAATCAGACTCTGGGGATGTTGGTTTATCTGGTTTGTTAGCGCTCGACTGATACGATCAGTCACTCTTGGGATGATGAGACACAATGTTGCTTGGGCACTTTCCCATTGAGAAAGGGTAACAAATGTCTATCTGGATACTTTAGATACTTTAGATCAGTCGTGGGCCCTGAGTCTCACCTGGCTGCCCGTTGACGGCAACATTGTATCACCAGCCTTAATCTTACAGTATTGCATCAGTGCTTTACACTACTGTAACTGTTTTTATTTTAATTGTGTGCATTCACAGTTTCACAGACAAAAGAGAAGGGAATGGATATTGAAACAGGCTTTCCATCGCAGTTTCAGTTGGGATTGGGGGGGTGTGATATATATCGTCTATGATAATATCGTAATTGTTGATTAAACGATATGCGATTTGACGTTAAGAGTATATCACAAAAACACACCCAGAGCGTGCACGCATACACCTTGAGATACTGCGCGAGCACGTTTAGAGTTCACGCTTTCACTGCGTGATTTAGTCTGTTGAAATACATTCAGAATTCCCACAAAATTCAAGATAAAGGGGCAAATATGCTGCCATATGACTTTTATGTGTCTTTTATATTTCTATCATCTGAAATAGTTAATAACACACAAAGAATAGTTTTTTTTTAAAATATCAGCACGATTGCAAATCTGATGATATTGATTTTATAAAACAGTCCAATAAACAAGAAGTTAATATTAATTGACATTTTAGACACAAGTTCCTGTTTTGGCTCTATTTCGACAACGGAAATAGTTCCAATCAAAGCCACAGCAGAACAGTTTTGCATCTCTGAGCGACACGACGGTGTTTTATTACCGAATCAATCCGCCGTTTGAACGAATCTGTTGAGTAAATGATTCAATGACTTACTCATGCAGTGGTTTGCCGCCACCTACTGGCGATTTTAGGTTTATATTTAATGTGTATTTTCCCTTTTTTCCCGAATCAGATATTGTATAATAATTTTACACTGCATAAGACAAATAATATTCTTTCTCAGTATTTCTGTCTTGTTTTCCAGCACAAATATCTAAACATCCTTAAATCAAGACACATTTACTGGAGATGCAGAATGACTTAAGATATTAAGTATTTTTCTGAAAAAAACACAAAGAAATATCTGCCAGTGGGGTCAGAAAAATAATCTTGTTTTATCTTTGAATTCATTTTATTTTTCTGACCCCATTAGCAGATATTTGTTCTTGTTTCAAGCATAAACTCATTTTATTCAATTTCTCAGAAAACGAGACTTCTCGTCTGACGTCATTTTGCATCTCCAGTAAATGTATCTTGATTTAAGAATGTGTAGATATTTGTATTCTAAAACGAGACAAAAATAGCAAGAAAGAATCATTTTTGATGGCGATACCCATTTGATTGGAGTCAGAAGATGATGTGCTACTGAATGAAACATGCAAGTCTCGTTAACGTCTGTCAATCATCTCGTTTTATGTCCAGGTCAGTGACTTCCTGTCGGGACGGTCCCCGCTAACCCTTGCCCTGCGTGTGGGCGATCACATGATGTTTGTGCAGCTCCAGTTGGCAGCTCAGCCATCCGTCTCCAGGGGACCTGCGGGCCCCAACCAGACGCCAACAGGGGCCGTCAGCAGTGAAAACCCCTCAGACTCTCAGCAGCGGGCACTGGACGTCATGAATGCCCCGTCCTCATCTCATGTTCACCACGCCCACAGTACTCAAAGCCCCGCCCCTGCTCTTCAGTCGCATCCTGTTAGCCACGCCCACCATTCTCAAAGCCCCGCCCATGCTCCGCCCTGCGCTCAGGTAAGACTCGAGCATAGAACCGATTCATGTGTTATTAAACCCTAATGCAAAAATAGTGGCCTTTAATAGGCGACAGTAGTGCATTACAATGGACTTGATGATAAATGCTCAAATGCACCACCTCACCAGTACAGAAACAAGCCTTCAAGATGATAAGGGTTAAAGGGGTTGAAGTTCATCCAGAAACTGAAGTAGATCTCGTCTGATATGCAGTGTAAAGCCAGTAAATGCTGTTCATTTTGCAGTATTTGTGCTGAATTCAACAAGCTCTAACATCTCAAAAACACTGGAGTTATGGATAATTATAAGTTCATCTGTCCTGAAAAGCAGAGTCACTGCAGAAAGGAGCATTTAGACACTTTACAGCTCAAATAATTGCTTATTACGGAGTAAAAACAAGCAAAACAAATATACCAGCTTCACATTTGAGCTATAAAACTCTTGAGATGAATGAAGTGCTTTACTTTTGAGCAGCTCCAGTGTTACAGAGACCGTTGCAAGGTTATTATAATTAACTAAAACTAAAACCGTAAAGTTTTCTTCACTTTAAATAAAATAAATGTTAACTTGAATAAAATACATTAAAAAACAAACTTATTTTATTTCAATATTTCTCATATTCATTTAGTTTCAGGGTTATCATAGTTAACTAAAACTGAAACTAAAATTAAAACCATTACAAAATGTTTGCTTAAAAATAAGTTTTTATTATATTTTATTTCAGTTAAGGTTTATTTTATTTCAGCTAGTTGCCAAGGCAACATTTATCAATTTAATTAAGTTAACTTGATGTACTAAAATAACTAAAACTAAACCAGAAATAAAAATGGGGGGGGGGGGGACATTTAAAAAAAACTACTAAACATAACAAAAATGCACAATGAAATTAATAAAACTTAAAAAAAAAAAGAAAATATAAATTTAAAAACTATAATAGTAACTCAATGGTACTAAAATAACACTTAAGTGCTAAAATAACTACAACTAAATGAACAAAAAAAATTATAGACATAAAAAAAAAAAATTCAAAAAGACAAACGCAACAAATTAAAGAGAAAACAATAAATGTAAAATCTAATTAAAAATATTAACAAGCTGCTATAATAGTATCTCAGTGACGCTAAACTAACGCTGGAGATTGTTGCAGTGACTGACCAGAAGACGCAGTGCTCACTAACGCTGGTGTGTGTGTGTGTGTGTGCGTGTGCGTGTGTGTGTGTTTCAGGCTGAAGGCAGCACTCAGAGCCCCAGACAGCGATGCAAACCCGGCGCCGTCATCGAGAGCCTCGTCAACCACGCGCCGGGAGTTTTCTCAGGAACCTTCTCAGGTAACGCATCGCTTCATCGTGAGAATTACAGCAGTCAGAACAAGCGGCTCGTGTCGACCTCATCGCGACCTCTTCACCCCTCAGGTACTTTACACCCCAACTGTCAGGACAGCAGCGGGCGTCCTCGCCGGGACGTCAGCACCATCCTGCAGATCCTCAACGACCTCTTGAGCGCCACGCGGCATTGCCAGGGATCTCCTCCGACGCTGACGCACCTCCACTGCCCTCCGGCCTCGCCCTGCTCACCTCCACCCTCACCTACCTCAGACCAGCGGCAGCCGCACGCACACCTGCGCAGACCCTCCGGTGAGTGTGTGTGTCTCTCTCTGTGAGCGTGTGTGTGAGCATGAGCAAGTGAGTGTGTGTGAGCGTGAGCAAGAGAGTGTGTGTGTGTGTGTGTGTGTGTGTGTGAACGTGTGAGCGTGAGCAAGAGAGTGTGTGTGTGTGTGTGTGTGAACGTGTGAGCGTGAGCAAGAGAGTTTGTGTGAGCGTGAGTGTGTGTGTGTGTGTGAACGTGTGTGAGCGTGAGCGAGAGAGTGTGAATGTGTGTGTGAGCGTGAGCGAGAGAGTGTGTGTGTGAGCGTGAGCGAGAGAGTGTGAATGTGTGTGTGAGCGTGAGCGAGAGAGTGTGTGTGTGAGCGT